CATGCAATACAAAAAGGATAGCAGATGCAATTATATTATTTTGGCTTAATTAATTAGATCCCTCCTTCATCAATGTCCCGCTCACAGTGCCGCGAAAGCGTTCGGACCACTGGTGTCTTCGTTTTTTCAACGAGTGCCAGCAAATCGCTGCTGATGCCATTCTCGATAAATGACAGAACGTTGCAGCGTATCCCATCGGACAGTGCCTTAAACTGACCAGAATACTAAAAATCGCACGGCTTAATGTCGGGTGAAGGAGGTAATTGAACACAGGTCTCATTATTGGTTCTGCCGTAGCACTGCCCTACAATACAGTTACTCGGGGTCTGGCACTATGACGAGCAACGGTGGCCTTCTTGTAGTTGCTGGTACCATCCATTTGTCGAATGAGTGCTGATAAACAGGCAATATACAACGACAGCGACGATTTTTTTCTCTCTGTGAGCCGCCAAGCCACAGTTCAGAAATCCTTTGTCATGATGATCATCCCTTGGGCCCTCGTAACCCCTCAGGGCAGATTTCGACGGCTTCTCATCTGCATTCATACAAAATTGACGCTTGTGAGTTTTGGCTCGGAGTCCAAGACCACCCATATTTCATCTAGGGCCGGGGTGCGTTTTCACAGTTGTGTTTCACAGAATGACATCTTATGTGGAGAACACTACCGCTATAGGCATGAAATCGGTACTGCTCCGTGGCCCATATTCAAACGCTCTACCATCCTCAAATTATCGGACATAACTCGTGCAGCAGTTGCAGCAGGGATGCCAAAGCTCGACAAGGGTCCAGCCTCTGTGATCAGACATTCAGCGCTTGACATACACCCTTTTCTAATCATTATTATTATGGGACCACGGCAACAAATTTTTTCCTTTTCTTCGGATTTTCTGTTCCGAACCCTCACTTTGCATTTCGAGAACACCACTACACGCATCTACTGTTCCGGCGCAGGTCGAATTTGAGCCAGGGCACATCATTGGTTGGGGATTTTAGTCGAGTCTGTACGAGACCCCTTTTTTTGGGGAGTTGGTACGACCCTCCCCCAGCCCTCTGTCCTTCCTCATCGAATCGAGCCGTCGAGCGGGAGGAGGGGGGGG